TATACTAAATTAAACTTTATATAGGAGATAATCTTATGCTTATAAAAAGATAACCAACGAAGCTGGACCTTAGAGATTAAAAAATATTTTAAAATTATATTCGTAGAATATTCAATACGGTAGGGCCGGGTTTATTAGCGGAAGGGCGCCGAAAAACAAATACTAATCGACCCTAACAATAACCTAATTATAATCAATTCATAAAGTATATACCGCTAGACTAGGAGGATACTCCGGCCGTAAAAGGACCTATAAAGTATTTAATAAATCCTACTATTAGTTAGGGATATACTAATTTATTAAAGAATTCTATAAAGCCTATCTAATTTATATTAAGAAGAAGTTATTAAAATACTTACTTATAAGATATTTAAAACCGTTTTTTATATCTCTAAAGATATAATTATAAATTTTAATCGACTATATAATATTTATAATACCCTACACTAGATAGGGACGGACCTACCACTATATCGCTATTGTAGTTGACTGATTAATAAAGATGTAGTACTATATCCCTATAGAAATTCTAGAAATAAATAAATTAGTAGAGAGGTTTATCGAAAAGATCTATAGTATCTACGGGCTATTTAATAACGTTATATTAAATAGGGGTTTATAATTTATTTTTAGACTTTAGAGAGTTTTGTATAAGAGATTAGGTATTATAGTAAAATTCTTATTAGCCTTCTATTCTTAAACTAATAAATAAACCGAGAGGATTAATATAGAAATAGAATAATATTTAAAGCTCTATATTAATTAGGCTTAAAATAATTAGGTAGATTAGTTACTCTTAGCTAAATTTACTTATAATAATATAATTTTAGAAATTACTAGTATTAACCCCTTCTATACGAATTATAATTTCTATCTACGGATAGGTACGGAGCTGTTTAAATTATACCTCCTAAATTTAATGGAAGTTTAAAGAAAAGAGTTCTTCAAAGTTTTAGAGGTAGCTAACCGATTTTAAACTATACTAGAGGGTATTATTGTATTATTTAAATAAGTGTAAAACCGGTGTAAAGCCTAAGTAAATAAATATTATATAAACGCCCCTAAGTATAAGGCCGGTAATAAAATACTACTTAATACTAAGAATTTTATTATTAGGCGGTTATAAATAAAGCTAGTACTTAAATTTGAAGGCCCTTTTATAATACTAAATTATAATTCCTACCGGGTTAAGCTCTAATTCCCTAGAGATATAAAGGTCAACCCCGTATTTTACGTATTAATAATTAAACTATAGGAAATAGTAGGACTTCCTAGGCAACGAGAAATTGAATAAAATATTCTAACTAACTAAGGGAGGTTTATAATAAGGATTAACGATAATAACGATAGTAAATAGTAGGAGTAGGAATTTAAATATATTATAGGCTATAGTAAAGTAAATAACGGCCGTTGGATATATTAAATCAAATAGAAAGATATTAATAAATTAATATAATAACTAACTAAGGACTTAGAAAGATATAACAAGATTATTTAGAAGTATTATAATTCCTACTCTAATATACTACTACTATTAGCGTAGGTTAAAAGGAGATAGAATAAAGGGAGATTAAAAAAGAAATTATCCTTAGACTTACTAATAATAATCCCTTTATTTTATATTATACCCTTACTATTTAATTTTAATATTAATTTAAATATATATTAACTATTTAAACGAAATATTTGGGTCGTATAATAAAAAGGATAAAAACTTAATAAAAAGAAAGGAATTTAATACGATTTATTCTACGTACCCTAATTAAATACCTTATAGTATACCCTTTTATAGGGCAATTATTAATAGTACTGAAAGATAGTACGTTTTATAGCAGTTTTACATCTCCTATTCCCCCGAACGGCCTATACTTCAATACTAGAAATTTACAACGGATAAGATTGGAAAATAAAAAGGATTTAAAAGATATTAGTAATATATATTTGAGCGTTTATACGAAAAATAGTTATTAGTAGGGAATTAAACGCGCGAGCTTTCAAATTTATATTAGTAGCGGCTATAAGCGTTCTACGTAAACCATTATACTATAGCCGTCCCTATAATACCCCCAATAGAGCTAATAATAATAAGAATTATTAAAGTTCTCTATATATAATAATTAGAGCGTTTTAAACTAGTTCCCAACGTATAGATAGATTATTGAGGGTAATAATAATTTTTACGGTGGAAGGGTTAGATTAGCAATATTTTGGTTAGTATTCTACCCCTAAGCGGGAGTTAGAGCGCTAAGCAGCCTCCCGCCTTAGTACGGGCGCTAAGACTTTTTACTGCAATACAATTAGGCGTATTAATAAGGAACCCGGGAGAATCTACTTTAGGCAAAATAATGTATTTAAATAATATTTTTATAGTAGGAGCGTTCTAGAGGGAGGTAGTATTATACGGCTAGATTATATACCCTATACTAAGCTATATTACGTACTCTAAGCCGTACTATAGTACTAGTACCGGCCTAGGTATTGAGGCTCTATATAACCCACTCTACCGGGCTACACAACCCTACCCATAAGACCAGGCTGGCGTACACTCTCCTCTTGCTTCCTTCGTACAATAACGAATATCGTAGCTTACCTATAACGGTGCCCTTGCCCCGTGATAATTATTTTAAATAATTATATAACTTTTGAGTTCTATTATTTATATTATATTATATAATTGTTTATTTAAATTCTTTAATAAAATTCCCTTTATAAGAATTAGTTTTAAAGTTTTATAGATATAAGATTAGAAATCTTATTGTAAAATCGTTATAATATATTAAGTAATTATTTAAACGTAGGTATTATATTTAAACTATTAATTTAGAGTTACTTAAAGTTATAATTTAATTCTATATATCAATCTTACAATCCGCAATCTCAATACAAATCCAAACCAAAACTCTCTCTAAATCTTTAACCTTACAACTACGGATAGTTTTAGTAGAGAAAGGGATTTTTTTATCCTTCACCTTCTTTTTCTCCAATTCGAAATCTAAATTAAAAATTAATAAATAATTATAACCAAAACTAAAAAATAAAATCATATACATACCCTTACGCAAGGAACAACCTTTACCTTCGCCTTTATAGTAGCAATTCGTATAGACGCCCTTACTAGTAATCTTACTACTAGAAATATATTCGAAAAAGGGATTAGAGTTAATAAGCAATATATATTTACTATAGGTACATTTATTAATCTTTACACTAAAAAGATAACGAATAAAATTAATAAATTATTCTAGACGTTCCTATTTTGATTTAAATATAATATATTCTCCCCTCTTCTAATATACTTTAAGAGAAAGGCGGCGGATAATAATCTATTACTAACCATTAACTTTAATTATTTTTAATACTAATTAATTAACTTTAATAATAGTATTTACCTTATAATTTACTACAATAGCACGGGCTTTATTAACCTTACAATTAAGGAGCTTTTTTATAGCATAGCGGAGGCGTTTCTCTTAGGGCTAGGTACTATCGAATTCGTTTAAAGCTTTATTCTCGTTTATATTATCTGTAATAGACTTACTTTTAAAGGTATACGGGCGCAATATTGCTACTAAAGCGGCAGCGCCGTCGTTGGATATTTTTGCTTTCTCGAACGTTAGTTGAATATAAATATACATTATTATTATATATATTATATACGTACTAATTAATTGTGATTAATTATAGTATATTTGCATTGCTAATAGTTGGTGCGTTGTTATTATAGGGAAAGTATTTATATATATTAACGTATAGAAGGAAGTAGGGTGGTATATAATATGAGAAACATTTGATTATCAAACTGAATCTATATTAACGCGCCCGGGCGCGTATTTAATACTTGTAGCTGGCACGGACTTTTTTTGAACGAGATTCTGTCAATTGAGCATAACCCAGACTTGGGCCACCGTACACGTACGGCAACCGGGTCCAGGGACTAACCCTCACCACCACGCCTTCACAGCGGGCAGACATACAACCGTATGTCGACCCTAGATAAACAGGGGCAAACGACATCCTCAGGGTCTGTTGCCACAAGGGTTCCTAGGTAACAAGCGGTACAAAAAAAAAAAAAAAAATTTAAAAAAAAAAAAAATTTAAAGACGCCCAGGCACCGAAACAACAAAACGTTCACATACCAGAAGGCCACGGCGCCGAGCGGAGCCGTACTAAAAAGTGTGTCCGTGTTGAGACCGGGAGAACTCCGCCAGATGGAGTTCTTGATTGCCCATGCCGGCAAGCGGGCCGATTCAAATAGATTCTGTACATATCCTCCACCCGCTGGGGATTTGTGGGTTTTGTGGTTGATTGAGGCTCGAGTACATACAAGGGGTCCTTGTTGTTGGTGATGATGGGCATACATAGGTGAGGGTATGTGTAAGTCCACCCCCTGGCTCCCAGCATGGAGGATAACAAGTCTCGCAAGTGTACATATTGCGTAGTAGGCAAGATGGGACGGTACCATAGCTGAGTACTTGGCCTGAGGAAGGGACACCGGAAAGAAACACTGGCTTCTCTCGGGATAGATATGGGCCTGCCTCGGTCTTCAATCACCCGGTCCGGTATACCCCATACTTCCATCTTCCCATTGTCGGAGCCGTGACCCCCATCTTTTCCCCCCGATGTGGAGAAAACAAGCCCCGATGCCATGCGACGCAGGGGCTGCTCTTGGGCGCCAGGGCAGTGTAGGTAGAGGCGCTCACTACTAATCAGTCAGTGTGTAGGTATTATCGGAATATTCAACCAACCACATATGGAGAGGTGATTGACGCGATTTACAGCAGAAAGGGACCCCGCGTGACCGGACGGCTAAGATGGAAGAATCCAATCCCACCAAATCATGAGTCTTCTCGAGACCTACCTACATATAGCAATGGAATCATGATGTCCAGCTAGACCTTGCGTTCTGCTACTTTTGACCTTTATTACCTTCTGTTGTTCTTGCGTCCAGCTCAGCCAGCAATCATGACCCAACCACCAAAAGTGTTCACAGCAGAAGAAGGTATGCAATGGAAACCCACCTCACCCATCTTCCTACGGAGTCAATACTTATCTGGTACACAGTTGCTAAACATCGATCGCCAAAGAGCTGCTGGGTAGTCCTCTACGGCAATGTCTATGACGTGACGGAATTTCTGCCCTCCCACCCGGCCGGCGACAAAATCATCCTCCAGCTCGCCGGCCGTGATGCCACGACCGAGTATGATCCGATTCACCCGCCAGGCACGCTCGAGGAGAACCTCAAGCCCGAGGCCAAGCTAGGCATCATTGACGACGCATCGCTAGCCAAGCTTCACCAGAAAGAAAGCGAAGCCCGCGCAAAGGCAACAGGCTCGGCCATGGGGACCACCACGCACACCACCTCAGCCCAGCAATCCGAGAAAGCCGCGCCGCCGCCGCTCCACACCCTCCTCAACCTTGACGAGATCGAAGCAGCAGCCAAGACTCAGGTCTCCAAAAAGTGCTGGTCCTATTATTTCTCCGCCGCCGATGACCTTTACACCAAGACCCACAACACCCGCGCCTTTCGGGACATCCTTCTGCGCCCGCGCGTCTTCATCGACTGCACAAAGGCCGACACCTCCACCACGTTGTTGGGCCACAAGGTCGGCACACCACTCTACGTCTCGCCCGCGGCGCTGGCCCGTCTGGCGCACCCGGACGGCGAAGCCGGCATCGCCAAGGGCATCTCCTCGTTCGGGGCCATGCAGCTAGTCAGCAACAACGCATCCATGACGCCCGAGCAAATCGTGGCCGAGGCCGTGCCGGGAGCCGTCTTTGGCTGGCAGCTGTACGTGCAGACGACCCGCTCAAAATCCGAGGCAATGCTGGCGCGCATCAACAAGCTGCGCGACCACTTCAAGTGCATCGTCCTCACCCTCGACGCGCCACACCCGGGCAAGCGCGAGCACGACGAAAAGTCCAACCTTGAAGCGGCAGGCGAGTTTGTCGAGTCCGCCAGCAACGCCAAGACGGACGCCGAAAAGAAGCCCGGCGGCGGCGGCGTGGGGCAACAGCTGTTCTGGGGCACCGCGGCCGACTTGACGTGGGAGACAACGCTTCCCTGGCTGTCCAAGCATACGGATTTGCCAATTGTGTTGAAGGGCATCCAGACGCATGAAGATGCATACCTGGCGGCGCAGTATGCGAGGAAACACCCGGGCACTGTGAAAGCGATCATCCTTTCGAATCATGGCGGGCGCGCGCTGGACACGGCGCCGCCGGCGGTGCATACCTTGTTGGAGATCAGGAAGTACTGCCCGGAGGTGTTTGGGGCGGTCGAGGTGTGGATTGATGGCGGGGTCAAGAGGGGGACGGATGTGGTGAAGGCATTGTGTTTGGGTGCGAAGGCGGTCGGTGTGGGGAGGGCGGCGCTTTGGGGGCTTGGGGCTGGTGGATGGCAGGGTGTTGAGAGAACCTTTGATAGTAAGTGGTGCTTGGTACACAATGACTTTGGATGCACTTCCTTGTGGTCTTTTACATGCGACGGATATGTCGACACTTTGCTAACACGACAAACAGTCCTTCAGCAGGAGATCATTACATGCATGAAGCTTTTGGGAGCAAAGACGGTGAATGATCTTGGCCCACGATTCGTATGTCTATTCCGTTTTGACACATTTATTGCTGCCCCTTCGCCATGGCATCTTTTGATGAGTCTCTAACTTAGCCACACAGATCAACACCCGAAAAGTCGAGCGAGACATCTTTGATGGGGATGCCGGTCTCGACAAGAACGGGTTGTGGACATCTCGTGCCAAGCTCTGAACTGAATGAGTAAGCGCGGCCATTGAGCCTGTGATGCGTGTCTGAACATGGCGGTGGCTTGTCACGATGGATCCGGCACCGTCAAACGCGGGGAAGTTTGGGAAGTTGACAGTGCGCGCAACTGGTCGGAAGTGATACGATCACAACTGGATCCCCTTCCGAGCCTCCAAAAGTGAAGTATCTCAAAGTACCCGCTCCATGAACAAAGGAAAGGGGGGGTTTGCGCGCGTGATGGTGTCTACCCCAGGTCTTGGCAACCATGGGCCGATCCTGGGGAAGCGGGGGCGGAGCCTGGCGGTATTTAAGTGGCATCTGATCGGCCCAGAGCGCTGTAATATCTCCAAAATCTCTGGTGTTCATAACCGAGCATCCGAGGTTCAGAAAAAAAAAAGGAGAAAAAAATATAATCGTTTTCGACACGTGGGGTGGTGACCATCCAAGAGCAAAGTGCGGAGGAGATGCCGTACGGAGATTCAGTTTGCTATCAGATCTTCAACTGTGACGCTCCACAAGTGCTAATTCTCTAGCGCACACACTACACAGAGACTTCGGACGAACCATTGGAGTTGCGGACTTTGTGTCCGCTGCCTGGTGGCTCTACCTTGTGTATGGTTGTGGGGATCCCCGAGGTGGAGATGCGGAGAGCCATTGCACAGTAACGTTTGCGAAGCTGGTGATTCGAATCCCTGAAATGGTCACGCTGGTGATCTTTCTGGCTTTGATCAACAAAATATGGCTATCCCGTTCAAGGGAGATATGAACGATGGTAATATCGTAACGATCAAACGAAGCATGGTTGCCAGTCTTTTTGTACACCATTCGTCCTTGTATTTTGGCTATGGAGACGACAGCTTGAGTTTGGATTAGCTCGAGTAGATCTGCTTCGCTAAGAGAACTTGGCCTCGAGATTTTGTAGACTATGTACAGGTACGCAGGTACTCATGTTTCAAGATCAACGGTCCTCTTTGTGATATTTGCCCACCAAGGGCACGAAAAGCATTTTAATCAGATGGCGAGAGAGAACCATAAGAGAGTTGTGGACTTACTTTCCCGTGGATGTCTCAAAGTTGTTGGATTGGTGACAACCACCAGTTTATCAAACATTCGCTAGCGGAGATGGTGCAACCCTCGGTACCCAAGGAGCGACTGTTACGGAGATGACATGGCAATGTCAGTGTTGCGTTGTCGCAGCCTCAAAGCCACAATCACAACAGTTTAGTTCGTCTGATAGGATGCCCTTCTTCCCGATCTTAGGTGCCCCGTATCCAAGAGGGAAACCTGGTGAGGCAATTTGACAGTGCATCATATCTCGGCGAAACTGACCGACTTGGTCATAGCTTCCGAGTATCCCGTCTGCGCGTCCATCCGCTGGACGTCAAGATCAGGGGTGGTGGCAAGGGATGTGCCCTCAATGTGCCAGAAGGTTGCAATTCTGGGATGGTCAGACTTGAACCGTGCTGTGTGTCTCGAAGATGGTCGTGAAAAAAAAAATCCCAAAATATCCCATTAGTATGAAGGGTCGTTTTCTCAATGCTATTTATGCAAATCTTTGACCAGGTTAGTTTTTTTGTTGATATACCCTATCTTGAGGAGTTGAAGCTTGAGCCACTAGTCAGGCAAAGTACGAATGGCAGCTGCATGATAGGAACCGGTGGCTTACCTAGTGTACGCCGTTGGTCTGTGTTGATGCACATCATCTGTGCAGGAAAACGTAAAGCTGCTTTGGGTCATCATCAAGATGGGGTTAGCCGTCATACTGATTGAAAAGTGAAGCAGCGATCCGACCAGCTGAACGCGACTGGCCGTGCCTTGCGGTGATATTGTGAAGACCAAAGATTCAACTCTCACGTCACGGTCGTTGCGCAAACGAGTCAACTGACATGGCGCTTGGCTTTCCGACCCCTAGCCCAGGACTGATACCATCAAAGTGGTGTAACGGAAGTTGCTTCCTTGAAGAACGAAGGGGTCCAGAGAGAACTTTTTCCTAGGCTGGTTGTGGCCAAGAATCAAGAAGTCGACTTCGTTCGTCGTCGATTGTTTGTACTTTGATTTGACTGACCGTCTAATTCGGTATTCATAGGCCCCCTTTTAGTACTAGACATCTTTGATATATGGTGCTGCTGTCTTTCCTGGCCAAGTGGGCTGGAGCGACAGTTGGGGATAAGGACAGCCGCGAAGTGCCACAGGGGTTTCGAGATCTGGTTGGCCGTCGACAAAAATTCCCATCTAGACCGGGAAGGTGGGACAGCCACAAAGGGCCGAAAGACCACGCAGTACATTCAGCAAGTCAAATTCCATAATCAGGGAGGCCCTGCACAACGGCCGCGCCTACGGACAGGCCCTCGTAAACTAATAAGGAAGTCCAGTGCCGGGTCGCCTGTGGTTGTTGTTGGTCTCGAATTGCCGGTCTTGCGTTAGGCCCGAAAATGAGAAGTTCGTGTGGCGGGCAAAGGCGTCGTTTAATTCTATATCGCCCATTGAGATTCTCGTTGTCGTTCCTTCCAGAGATCTGACACAGGTGCCGATGGAGGCCCGGAACCATCCGTTGGGAACATTCTACAAGACCGGCTATCCTGTCATTTCGTCGTGAGCCAATCCGCATCCAGAAGTCATGTAAGTCAACCAATTGGGCATAGCTCCACCAATATCAGACCTCGAAACTTTGGTTTGGACCATTGACAAGTGCTTGGTTGTCTCTAGAAAGGCTGGATTGGTCTCCAAGTTTACCACCATCGTTGAAGCAGTGGTGTAAGCACAAACGTGTTTGGCTAGCCGCAATGCAGAGGTGCCAAGTCGCATATGTAGTAATGTGTGTTGGTTGCAGACCGAATCATCGATCAGGATCAACTTGGCTTCAACCGTTTTTGCATATGAGAATCGCTCATGGCCATCAGGCAAGTAGTTTGGAGATTGACTTTTGGTCTCTGAGTCATTCGTAGGGCAGAAATCGCCGTTGTGGCGGTTGGGATTTTGCGGTTTCCGTTCTCGACGTTTGGATGTTTTTCGTCGCCTTTTCTGTGCCGGTGTTCGATGTTTTAGTATCCGGGGTTGTCGTCCCGAAAACTGGTGGAACAGTGAGAGAGGCCCCAATTTTCACATGCTCCATAATCGTTGCAAGAGGAGCCGAAGGCGTGACCGATAATTGGACACACCCAGACCAAAGCACTTCGACCCCTGGCACTACTACCCCAGGGTCTGCGGGCTTGGCGGGGCAAGAGTCTAGCTGACCCGATCCTCTTCTGGCAGTCATTCCGCATGGAAATCACTAACGATCGGGTTTTTAAGCTTGGAGCTTATTCTAACCTTGTTTGGCTTCAGTTGATATCCCTCGTCTTTTCGTAGCAAATCGGCGCTCCCTCACTCGCACACGCTCGCAAAACTTTCGGACTCAGACATCTGCAGACAATCGCTGATGTTAGCAATATGAATCGCAAACAAAAACGATTGCCTATAATCGAACTCGCAGGTAACGACAGGCTATGTCCATCCCCGCTTCGGGCATTCATCATCGCATGATTGTAAAGTCGCAATGAGCACCAACGCTCCGGTATGCCGCATCCCTCGACGAAGCCGAGACTGAAGTCCGTCTCGCGAGCGTTTGGTCAAAATATGCCTTGTGGTCAAGGGAATGACGCAGAAATCACCGCTCCAGTTGAGCTCCAAAAGTCTTCATGTTGGAGTGCCTCCCCGCGGCAAAGCACCAGCGCAAGTCTCCGCCTCCACAGTGAGCCAGCTTGCCAGTTCGCCAGGTTGACGGCGACTTTTGCAAGCGACAAGGCAAGGCAAGTGAGGATCGAAACCCCATTCGGACAAGGCACCATAGCAGCAAGAGAGGGTGTTCTTCCTCTACGCCTTCCTCCACCCACATCCATTTCCCCCGCATTCGCATCGGGCTAGGCTAACCGGCGCCGTGTCTGGAGGACGGAGATGAAACCGGGAGGCAAGTTGGGTAAAGAATTGACGATCTGGGGGAAATTGCGAAATGAGATGCTCGGCCTGCCTGCCCTCCTTTTTGGCATATGATCTCTAACACGGGTCCGAAAGGGTTCATTCAAGCAGGCACCCAGAACACGGGGTAGATAAAGTCAATGAAAAAACAGCAACATTGTGAACTGGCGAGACTTTTATCAAGTGCTCATGTGCTCACATGTTTTCGAATTCATGGGTTTGACCGATGGTGGCGGACAAAGAGCCAAAGGGAAAGCAAGCCACGCCGTCCCCATCTACCGGTACTTTTGATGAACACTATGTACAGTGTACGAGCTGTCGAGAGAGCCAAAGAACTAAAGTACACAGTAACCAGACTTACACTGGTCAGACTACGCAAAGCGCGTAAAAGGGTTAGGGTATTTTACGCCGGGGGGGGGGGACGAGCTCGCCTTGGCATAACTCCAGTTATGATCGCTGGGGGGGGGGGGGGGGGGGGG